TATTTAATTTTGAATATAATAGATTATAGGAGAGATCATGTAAAAAAGATTACCTCAAAATGCTGCCATGTTCGTCGATTATTTCCTGATTTAGAATTATGATCTTTAATCGATTTATAGGTCTTTTTCAAACTTCTAAATTTTGAGGCACATTGACATCCTGTAACATTGTATCCCTTTTTCTTCGATACTTCAGAAATTAATTCCCAACATTTCTTATGGGAACATTTCCCATTAGTGAACTTTTCTTCCATCTCCTCATATGTTCGTAATAAAAGAAGCACAAACGCATCGAAATATAGAACCTATATAAATATAATATAGAATTAAACATATATTTGTTAAAAAATAATTAACAAAGTTAAAAATAAGCACAACGTTAAAATAAAAAGAGATATTAAAGAAAATAACCATTCAAATATTTAAAACTTACTCTCTTCATTGTCTGTTAACTCAATAACACTGTTTATATCAGAGGCTTCTGACATTGAATCAAACTGTGTATTACATATATTTAAGTCCTCTGACACTTTCTTATTTTGATCTGTAATAGTTTTATCCATAATGGCTGCATTTAAAAGAGTAGTAGCAAAGACGATATCTACACAAAATTAGAAAGATTGATATTATCATAAATTAAATTACATAAAAGACTATTAGAATAAAATATATAATTATTCAAACATAAAACCATGTAATTATTATATAAGCCTTTTCCATTAACATTTCCTTTACCATTTCTCTACTCTTGGGTTGAATCCGAAAAGTTTGGTTTTCTATAATGCTTCTGCATATGCACGGATGAAATATATTGTCCTGGGTTTTCGTAGGTTTTAAAAGGACTTTAAAAATATGATATATGAAGACACTGCAAGATGTGTTTTACCGGGGTGATTCCGATTGACCACGGCTCGATTGGACACCACCAATCACAGCGACCGGTGCTTAGGAGCTTTTTAGTTTCAAGCACTGTGAGTGGCTCGTGTCCAACTGAGCCATGTCCAACTGGGTGCCAGCCAATTATGAAGAAACTTCCTTTAAAGAAATATTTAATTTGAAGAAGTATAATCGTAACATTATCTGCTATCGTAACAATTGTATAATTAATAATTCTTTATCTTACCTTTAGCAGCATGACGTGCATCTTCAGAAGATAACATTACGTCGTATACTTTATTATTGTCTTTATCATATAATGAAATCTTTTCCATTTTAATTGGGTCACAATAACAAATTTCGTAAATCGTAATTACGACTAAATTAATCCTTAACCTTACATCCACTGGTATGAACGCGCGAAATTATCAGATATAATGCATTGTGGGTTAAACGCTCACGTCGACCCATCTCTTACCCCGGATCTACAATAGGTGTTTTAAGCCTTAAGCCGTAAGAAATTGACCAATTACAGTCGAATCCGAGAAGAATAAGCGACTGTGATTCGCCCATTTCTTATGGTTTAAGGCTTAAAACCCTATTGTAGATCCGGACTTAAGGCGTCATCTACAATACACGGAGTAAGAAGTAAGAGTAAGAAATTGACCAATCACAGTCGAATGTGAGAAGAATAATCGACTGTGATTGGTCAATTTCTTACTCTTACTTCTTACTCCGTGTATTGTAGACGACGCCTTAGTGCGAGCATTGCGAGCGTTCATTTGAACGGTCTGAAGTTAGTCACAAGCACTGCCTGATGGACATTGCGAGCATTAAGTGGAACGACACGCGAGCAATCTGAACATTGCGAACGTTAGGTGGAATGCACCCGAAACGGCTTCGAATCAAGGCAGCGGCCATATTACTTTTGAGCATTTGGACCATCGACATCTAG